GGGAGCCCAATGCGGGGCTCGATCCCAGGACCCTGGGATCATGACCTGAGCCGAAGGCAGACGCTTAACGACTGAACCACCCAGGCGCCCCCCTACCTACATTTTAAATATTACTATAAATGTTGGTTAAATATTGGGAATTAAGGGAAATATATTTTGATTTCATCTCTGAAAAATCAAGTATTAGATTTCACCCCAAAAAGTAAAACCAAATTGTATTGATCTTGATCTGCTTCCACCTTGGTTATAGGCTTTAAAGAAAAATTTCAGTTTTTATGGTTTCCTATGGGAATAGGAGAAAGATTACAGATGGGTCTGATTTTCTTATCAACTTCCATATAACAGAAGAAAAGTTATATCACGAAGCTGAAAAATAAGATTCATATTTAACATCAGAAATGCAAATATTGTCATGTTCAATAACTGCTCCATAGAAGAATTACAAAATGTACATAAGACAAAGCTAGATCTACCCCTCCAAGTCTTGTCTACTATTTTAAGAGGAGGAGAGAAACGGGAAGCCTCACTGTCCTTGTTGATGGGACATCCAGAGTGCACATTCCAGGATGACAATGTTAGGGGTCTTGAGGAAACCTATCATGCTCCCTGCCAAATGTTTCCAAAATGAAAATAAGCAACTTACTTCCATCTGGAAGACGTGCCAACACGACCCCACTGCCTCCTCTAGCAGTTACCAGAAATCCAGCTTTTATCACAGACAAAATCGCAAGGCCTTTGGCTTTAGCAATTACGTGGGCTGCAAAATTAAAGACAACGGGCAGGTGAGCATTTTTAGCGGACTTGCCTGAATAGATGAGCATTAGGCAGATCAATACACACAAAACTCTGCTGGGCAGGATCCCAGGGTTCTCAGTTCCAGTCTTAACGGCACGTATGAGCCAAATAAAACTCACTGACGTAGCACACGGACCCAAGGCTGTCTACCTCGGCCTCCTTCTTTGTGGTATATTTCCAATGCTACGCATAACATACAAAGTGCTAAAAAATCCCTGCAACTGCTATAATAAATGAGATATGTGGATGAGATTTTTTTTTTATTGACATCTACTAGCAGGACAAATAATTTGGAAATTTCAATTAATTGAGAATACAACTCATAAAAAACAAGTTATTGTTTTCAAAGTGATTAAGATCCATATGGAACTAAGAACTAAGGAGAAAGCTGGCAAGACTGGCATCACACAAACAGCAGAACTTTGATCTTAAAGCCGTATAGGTAGTTCACCTTTTATGAACATGAAAATTAGATTCAAATACAGAAAAACCAAGGGATTTTGCCACTTTAAAATATTTTTAACTTTATAAAATGATCCATTCAAGTATTCAAGTAACACATAACTATTAGTGTACTGAGAACATAATTTATACAATATTGGTTCATTCACATTTCAGGGAAGTTCATTACATAAAATGAGCTATTAATATACGTACCACCCCCAAACACTGCATCTCCCTTTTCTGTGGATTCATTCACACAACAGTATATCTTTCAAATAACAAGGGAAGCCCAAACATTGGAAGTTAGTCTTGGTCCCCAACATCACTTTTAAGACTGTTCGATTTCTTGTCTTTTGTTAAATATTCCATCAAGAAAGTCAAACCACTGTACTCAAACACACAAATGGTTTTCTGGAAGTCCCTAGAAAAACACTAAATTTCTAATATAATTATGCACACCACTTCAAAATTTTAGTTAATAGTAGACTCTCAGCGATAACTCACCCAAGAGCAGGAAGTTAGCGTGCAGACCTATGTGATGTTACTTGTAGTTAAGCAATGCTTAGAGAACAAGGTTGGGCTCTTAGATTGCAGTCCACTAAGCGTGCCTTCATTTTGTATTTTAAAAGGTTATAAGTATATTGTGATGAGGTTGAAAGCTCTATTGTATATTACATAGATTTATTTTTACAACCACATTTTGGCAGAACATCTTCCTCTACCCTCACACTCCACTCTCAATGTGTGTACGGTCAGGATTGCCTCTATTTAAATAGAACAAAAGTAGATGAACATATTTTAAATTTCAGGTTTGTTTTTATAGATTTTCCACCCAAATTTGGGGACACTAAAATACCGATAATGCTTAAATAATTTGCGAATTAGCTTTTCATTTATAATATAGATGCACTGATTACAGATTCCCTGATGGAATTTTACTGCACAAAATCCATGAGAAATAATCCATACTCAGATGTTTCTATGTCAGGAAATACAATTTATCCATAAATTGGGCTAGCAGGCTGTTGTGTATGCAGATGCTGATATATATATCAAGAAATGTCTTCTATCTCCTGCTTCAGAATATTGCTACTGAAAATTCAGTTTTTCTGGTTGAATTTTCTTCGAGTCCTAAATTAGTACTTATCAAACTGGTATGTGCAGCCAGATCACTGGAGATCTTGTGAAAAATGCAGATTCTGACCACTGAGGCCTCAGTGGAGCCTCATTGCATTTCTAACAAGCCCCCCGGTGATGCCCAACTGCTGGTCGAGTCTGCACTTGGAGTAGCAAGGCTTCTATGAAGCACGATTTTCCTGATGGGAGTAGTGGCTGGACCAAAGTAACAATAATAATAATAATAATAATAATAATAATAATAATAATTATAACAACAAATTAAATTTTTTTAACATTCAAAGGTCTGCTAAATAACTTAAAAAATCTGGCTTAAGAAATTAAACTAGTTTTAAAAAAAGAAGTTAAACTAGTTTTTGTAATGCAGGAAGTGTCCCACGCCCATGATTAATTAAGAGGGAAAGTAGTCTGTAGCAGTACCCAAGCTAGTTTGCATGTGACTCTTTGCCTCCTGGCAAGGAGGAGTCCTCCTTGAAGCACCCTGTAGAAATAACTGGGAGTGGAAACAAGCAGGTAGTGGTTCCCAAAAGCCCATCTCTAGACTCAGGTCCTTTGTGGTCCACCTTGCGTTAGAATCCCGGCCACTCTGCTCCAAGGGTCTGACTCAGCAGGTTTGGGGGGAATTTAGGCACTGTATTTTAATGATCCAAGGAATATGATGCACAGCTGGGTCAGGAATTATTGACTAATGTCTTCTTCAACCACTATAAAACGTAAAAATCTTATCTCAAAAAAGAAAATCCAAAATTAAATTGGTTTATGAGATTAGCTAGTGATTTTGCAAGATAACCTTGTAAAGACCTCAGAAATTGAGGACAATGACAGGTGAGTTTGGGGAAAGCCAAAGTGGGCACTACGAAGGGTAAGCAGGAAAGGGAGCCTCCACAAAGGTAGAGGGCAAAGGGAGGTGTGGGGGCCCTAGGAGACCATCTGGCATATCAGCCAGGAGGATAACGGCGCTCTGAGGGCCGGCTGCTTTTAGGGGGTGCTCTGCCTGAGGTCAAGGAGTACACCAAGTAACTTAGACAACAAAACAAATTTAAAAATGAGAGGTACATATTTTATTTACCAGGAATGATCTTATCAGGTCCATTTCTGGAAGTTATTTCTGTGAATTCTCTTAGAATTTTAGCAGCCTTTTTTGCTTCCGATTTCAAATTGGAAGGTATAGGATTATTCACTGAAAGATTAAGAAAAGGAGATTTTAATGAAAAAGTATAGTAAATATGAGTTAGAAATTTATTATAATTTCATTTTTTCTCATGCACAATTGAGTATTAACCAATTGTATCCATCTAGACAAAAGAAATGAACTGGAAATCCTCAAATTATTGTCTCATTTCTATTTTTCTGATAAATTCATTCTGAGATTGGGAAACCTTAAACTCTCAAAATCCCAGAAATTATAAAATCCTGGTTCAACCTCCCAATTGTGTATCTGCTCTCTTTAATTCTTTCTTTTTTTTTTAAAGATTTTATTTATTTGAGAGAGAGAGAGGGAACGAGCAGGGGAAGAGGGAGAGGGAGAAGCAGACTTCCTGCCGAGCAGGGAGCCCGATGCGGGGCTCAATCCCAGGACCCCGGGGACCACGACCCAAGGCCAAGGCATATGCTTAACTGACTGAGCCACCCAGGTGCCCCTGCTATCTGTAATTCTTAACTCATCTCAATACTAACTAAAAAACTTTAAAATTTAAAGAATTAACAAAAGATGTAACTTACAACTGTCTATAATAAAAAATATAAAATTTACTATATCTAGATATTTTTGTCAAAATATTTAACTATCTGTATAGATTATTCTTACTAGTAAAATTCTAAGAGACTCAGGAACTGAGTGATTACTCCCATGTGTTTGTATAGCATTCTACCTTTAAGGCTTGCTTTGGTGTTCCCCAAGTCATGCAAGCACGAATTTATCCCCACAAAGGCACAGAAAACCCTCCCAGACCTGAGGTATGTGGGGATGGGTCGTCCCTTTCTCACAGGACAAAGGAATCCGAAGAGCCAAAGAGATCAAGAGGCTTCAACTTCACATCTGGTTCAGGCCCTCAAATGCATTTTTCATGTCAAAGATGATGTCTTCAGCTACGAAGTGCCATTTGTTTGGGTTCTTCCCATTTCTGTCCTCAATCGATTTATGTTGTTCTTTAAATACTTGAGTGTATTTTAAAAGGTGCTTTTTTATCCTTGTCTGATAATTGCATCATCCTGGCCTTTTGGGATCTGTTTTTGACAGATTTTTCTCCTAGTTATGGATTAGATTTTCCTATTTCTGGCCATTTCTAGGAAAATTTAGTGGATGCTAGATATGAATATTTCCCCATGAGTGGCTAAATTTTGTTGTCTTCTTTCGGGCTGGTGCCCTTTGTAGGGGGCAGTGCAGGGAGTTACCTGCTTGTCAGCTCAGTCTTTCCCGGGCCTACTTCTGTGTTTAGCTCCAGTGCCTGTATTTTTGATGTGAGCCCTACAATTATGGTGTGACTCTTTGGGTTCTATCCCAGTATCCTCAGGGGTTTAATGAGCTCTCTCCCCTTTGGATGGTGGGAACTACTTCCCCTCAACCCTCACTGAATTGAAAACTATTCACTCATGGCTTCCTCATAGTGGTTCTTTGCTCCACCTTGGAAGTTTTACCTGTACACCTAGGGTTTGGTATTTGTCCAAGGATTCGTGGGGTTCCCTTGCAGATTTCTTGAGCCCTCTCTTCAGGGAGCCTGCTTTGCAAAGTCCAGTTTCACTGGCTTCCCCAAAGCCTGTTGTCTCTTTCATGCAGTGAGAGCAGGAGCTGGGGTTGACTTCCTGGCCCTGTGGCCCCTGGACGGGCCTTCAGGCAGGAAAATGGGCAGTCTTGGGGTTCAGCTCACTTCTCCCTCTTCCCTGGGGTCCTAGACACACTCACCTGGCATCCAACATGTGAAAGCAGATACTCGCTATATTTTGCCCAGTTTCTAGGGGTTTACGGTAAGTGGCAGTAAGTTTCTTTGTCATGAACCTCTCAGTGTGCTTTTATTTGTTGAGTAATGTTAAATATCTTTCCATTCCTGTCAAATCTCTCATATTGTTCTACAAGGGGGGTATTTCTCTGTTTCTTATTCATTTATAAAGTAAGGAAATTAGTCTTTTTCTAAGTCACAAATATTGATTCGCCATTTGTCATTTGCCTTTAGAATTTTCTTATGATGGTTTTTCTTTTTTTTTTTTTTTTAAGATTTCATCCATTTATTTGACAGAGAGAGAACACAAGTAGGGGGAGCAGCAGAGGGAGAGAGAGAAGCAGACTCCCCTCTGAGTAGGGAGCCCGATGCAGGGACTTGATCCCAGGACCCCGAGATCATGACCTGAGCCGAAGGCAGTCGCTTAACCAACTGAGCCACCCAGGCGCCCCTTATGATGGTTTTCTACTTTTGTCTTAATGAAATCAAGTTCATCTTCTCTTTTAAGTTTTACAAGTATCTCTAATTAAACAAAATGATTCACAAGTTCATATAGAAAAATAGACAAGCAAGAAAATATAGGGAAAACGTAGGAAAAAGAAGAATGAGGGGGACAAGCTCTTCCAGAAGCCACAACATACTATAAAGCCTCCAGACTTGATAGTAGATGTGACTGTAGGTAGAAAATCCAATTTACAAAATAGAAAATTCAGAAATTGACTCAAATACATAAAATAATTTAGTATATAATAAAGATAACACCTTAAGTCATTGTAGAAAAGCTGTATTACACAATAAATAGTGATCTTTGAGGGAAAAAATTCATCCACCGCTTCATGTTACATAGGGATAAACTCCAAATTCATCAACAATTTGAAATGCCAAAAATCAAACCATAAAAGAACCAGAAATTATGTGAGAACTGCTTTTCAAATTCATAGTGCAAAAGGCCCAAATATGACAAAAAAAGTCTATATTTTTAAATGATCAGAAATCATGGCACAAGCATACTGTAAACAAAGAGGAAAAAGTATACATATGTAAATACTGAGGAAAAAAGCCACCCCTACTATTAATATCCCCCAATACTACTGTCTGCATTTTAGTGTATGCTTCGATTGATCCGTATTGCTAAATATGTAGATTGTTTCCATTTTCAGCTTTTATAGATACCACTGTTGGCTGGCAATCATCTTTGGACAGAGTCTTAAGAGTTGGAATTGATAAATCAAAAAAACCCAAAATTTGTTTATTATATTACCAAATTGTCTCCTAAAAATACTACCCAAGTTTAACTGACTGAACCACCCAGGCACCCCAAAATACCACCCACGTTTAGAACCACTGGGTATTACCATAAAAAATTCCACTGTTACGGGTGACATTGGGAAAAGCGAAGTCCGTACATCAGAAAAACAGGATGACAAATTTTATTTGAATTTATCTGAATACTAGTGAATTTTTCTTTTGTTTGATTACATTTCCTGTTTTGCATATTTTCTGTTCACATTCTTTGACTGTTTTTCTGGTGCCATACTCCTTTTGTCTATAATTTTAATCCTGTTGCAAGTCTATGTCTCTGCTTGCTTTTTAAAAAAATTATTTATAATTTTTCAGCATTTGTTTTTATTTATATGGCAACACTTCTCTGGGCTTTCTACTATTTTCATCTTTCTATTACTGTGACTAAAGGCCTTGATTAAAAAAAATAATAATAACTAAATGAAAACAGCCACTATTCTATATTCTCTTCCAGAGCTTATATTTTACGTTAACTATTTGGCCCATCTCAAACTTATATTGGTATAGGATATGAAGAACCTAGTATTTTTTACATACACAACATGATTTATTGAATAATCCACAGCACTTAATTAAAAATGTCACCTTCATGACAAAAGCAAGAAAAATATATTCATATATGCATTCACATATTTAAAAATATATGACAGAGATGACATGGTAGTTTAATAAATTATTCTGGGACAACTGGTCATTCAAATAAAAACAAAATAAAATTAGATTATAATACCACATCATATACAAAAAATTTCAATAATTGATTGCCTTAATACTAAAGGCAAAATTTAGTACTTTTAGAATAAAAGTAATAGAAAATATCTTTATTATGTGGGCAATGAAGGAATACCCTAAACAATGCACAATAACAGGAAACTATAGATATATTCATCTACATTAAAGTCAAGAAAAAGTTGTGTCAACATACGTTTGAAAATAAGAATATAAGTGACAGCCTGGAAGATATCTGTCATATGCATAAATGGCAGAGATCTAGGGTTCAAAATACAGAGATTTTTTTTTTTTTAAGATTTTATTTATTTATTTGAGAGAGAATGAGATAGAGAGAGCATGAGAGTGGGGAGGGTCAGAGGGAGAAGCAGACTCCCTGCTGAGCAGGGAGCCCAATGCGGGACTCAATCCCAGGACTCCAGGATCATGACCTGAGCCGAAGGCAGTCGCTCAACCAACTGAGCCACCCAGGCGCCCCAAAATACAGAGATCTTTAAAATCAATAAAAATACAAGAGGCACAACAGAAAACCGGGCAAAGTGTTCAATTAGTTAATTCACAGAAGAGGAAAACTCTGTGGCTGGTAACCACCTGAAAAGTTGGATGTGCAAAGTAAGGCCATAGAGTCCCCATTTCTCATCCCTTGGGTTGACGGGCGTGTGAAGGCCTGCCAGTGCATGTGCGGGTTGTGGTAGAAAGGGGAGTCTCCTGTCTGTTGGAGGGGCAGAAGTCAGTGGAGGGCCCTCGTGAGGACAGGCAGACACGAGCAGTTCCTACAACCCACCTATTTTACTCCTAGGTGAAATCGCAGGTAAAGGTCCACAGGTGTGCTCACTGAGGCCTTGGTGAGTTGAGTGCTGGCTCCCAAATTCTCATCCACCTGGCCCCTGAGAATGGGACCTTATCTGGAAAAAGGGTCCTTGCAGATGTAATTAAGGATTACAAGGTGAGATCATCCTTGGCTACCTGGGTGGGTGGACCCCAAATCCGATGATGAATTTCCTTCATTTAGGATTCAATAAAGAGACACAGAGGAGGGAAGACAATGTGGCCACAAGCCAAGGAGCACCTACCACCCCCGGAAGCTCAGAGAGTCCAGGAGAAGGATCCCCCACAAGCTTGGGAGGGAGCGTGGCCCTGCTGACACCTTGAATAAATTTCTGTTCTAGGGGCCGGCCACTTTGCGGCAATGGGTTGACAGCGCCGGAAACCA